CAAATGTTTCATTTTTGTTCATTAGTTATCGTAATGCTATTTCTTTATCTAAACCGATGGATGCGTATTTACAATCAGAATATGAAGGCATGTGAAAGAAAAAATGCATGTGTCTGGTTCGTTATTTGTTCGTTTTCAAATTATTGTATTTTACTAATGTTGAGTTGAAGAAAATCTAGATACAAGTTTACTTAGCATGTTTCTAGAGTTTCCTTAGCTTAATTAGAATCAATCAGCAACCCATCTTGTAATAGGAGAGCATACATGAAGTTTTAGTTTTTTAGCTAAGAACAGATACAATTTGTGAAAATTATAAAGATTATAAGAAGATAGTAAAGAAAAATGACGAAATTCTGTAATAAAGCAATAAAATAACATTATCAGACGGAAGAATAGACTGAAGTGACGTTATATATAATATAGATTATTCGCGATATGAAATATGGAAGGAATAGCTCTTTTTTTTCTCGTTTCGTTGTACTCTTTCCAATTGTGCAGTTTATAGTGTTAATTGAAGATAACAGAAATTCATATCGATGATTAATCATCTTTCATCGTAGTGTTGCTTAAAGCTGATTTATCTTTTAGGCTAATGCAAAGAGTAACGCTGTGGACATAAAAATAACCAATTGTTTTTATATCGATTGTAATCAACTGAAAAATCCTAATATAATATCGTTGATAGAAGTGTGACTGTAAGCAGACAATAAGTTTCTTGTCATCAGTTATATCGATACATCTGGAAAAATAAGTGGCACAATTGACATTGTTGAATTCAAAATATCGAATTTAGTGAATCCTTCACTGTTTTTCAGATGAAATCAACAAATGAGCTTGGGCTTGCTACTGAACGTGTTCAATCTTCAACACAAGTCGATTTAAGTGAACTTGTTTGTTCAACAATATGTGAAAACATTTTATGGAAACCAATCTCTTGTCAACAGTGTGAGACCCATTTCTGTTCAGCGTGCATCAGACAATGGCTAATAAAACGTCCAAATCAATGTCCTATGCGATGCGACATTTTCATTGAACGACCGTGTTCTAAGTTCATTGCTAGACAATTGGCTAAATTACAAATCGCTTGTATTTATCAGCCAAACGGTTGTAAGGAGGTTAGTTAAGTTTTTTTCTTTCGTCTCATCAGAAAAAATTTTAGTCAATCCATTACTCTAGATTATTCCATATGAAGCACTCGAAAAACACGAGATGATGTGTGGTTATCAACGTGTCAAATGTACTGCATGCGAATTGGAAATATTGCAAAAGAATCTTAGTGAACATCAATTAGAATGTCCAATGATTGCAACGACAACTGTAGATCGCAAAATTGTTCATCGACGAAATGACATTGTCGAACGTCGTTCTGATATAGACAGTATTAGAGAAGAACTTCGACAAGAATGTCGATATGAGATTCAGCAATTCAAACAAGAGATTCGACAAGCACAAAGTAAGAAATCAATTTGTATAGTGAAAACTAGGATAAATGCATATGTTCTACATATTTACTGGTTAATTGAATGGGAACACTATCGTTTTAATTTAAATCATGAGCAAGGTTCTTGAATCATTTGTAACATAAGGTTTTGAAAATACATTTACCTTCTTGACATTAGACTTTATGAAAATAGTTTCTTTGTGTCAAGCAATCTTTCTGAGACGCAAACATACAGTTTTCATCTATAAACACAGAGGTTTTCAATTCGACCAAGAAGATCTTATGCTGTTGAAAGATATTTGAAAAATTTTTTCCTTAAGAAATTCAGCAGACATTGTTCGTGATTCAGTTCAGCGTAATTAGAAAATTTGAATGAACTGTACTCTAAGTATTTCAGAAAAGCATACAAGTCTAATAGAATTTTTTCTATTATTTTCTTGACAAAGACTAGGCTATATAGCCTCATATACAAGCAAACAGAGTCATTTTAAATGAATTAGAATAACTTTTATTGACTTTTCGTCTTCAGTTTGTTTCTTAAAAATGAATTCGCGCATGTTTGTGCTTTCGCCGTTTTCAAGCATACAAAAGCACAATGGATTTTGATTAGACAAAAAACAGAATCATGATTTTGGTTGCATCGTGGTGTTCTTTAACGTCGATTTTAAATAGTGCTAGTAAACAATAAAATGTAACAGAATGTGTATGTTTTTTTTGTCCTAAGACGTATTCAGTAGTGTTTGACATTGGCCATGTTTTTTCTGGCGTAATGAGATTCAAGTAAGACATTCGTACATTCAGAAATTTTCTTTAACATTTAGAAAAGCTTACCGCGACTATTTGGACGCGAAGGAGAAAAGTTTTTCAAGGTCATATCTCATGAAATAAACTTCTAAAAATGTTTACTCTCATATAAGCTACTCTACTCATTGTTTTCGAATTTAGTATCATTGAGGATATTTTTTTCACATGATTTTGAATTAGACGATTTGTTTTTATCAATGAAATTGTTCATAAAGCGTGACAAATGAAAAATAGTTTTTAAATTGCAACAAAACTTATTAGACTTCCAATTTTTTTTGATAAATAACTGTTTGAGAGTGGACGTCTATTGCAATTAACGTTTTTCTGTTGCTTACACGTATAGAAGCATTCAATATTTGATCTATTATAATTGACTAATTTTCTAATTGAATAGACAAAATAATAGTACTTTTCACAGTCATATATTCACCTGTCTCCAATAAACTGTAGATCCAAATATGAATGGGAACAGTGATGATTAATATAGTATTTTAGCTAAGAAATTATGGAACTTTAAATATTTTACGAAACGAAACTCTCGTCCAATATATACTGATGCGATTTTTCAGAACGACTAATTCTAACGTAACACAAAATATACTATTGTTATTTTGAAAAAAATTAAAAGTGCGTTTGCAAATACGACACAAGTGTCTCTTCTTTCTAACAGACGAATAATTCAGCTATCATGAGTATTGTAGTCATTGAAATAGAGCTATCTCACACTAATTTTTACATATCGTCATGTCCGATGAACATTCATGCAGTTGAAACTGCCCACCATTCGCCTCTGTAAAATGTTCTATTTTTTACTGAAAGATATTCTAATATTTCGGTCCAATTAATAAAAATTAGTACGGCTTTCTTTCTTGAATTACAGATAAACCCATGATGGAAATAAATCTAACGGTATGATATGATTTCAGTTCTTCCACTTTCGTATTCAAATTAGGCATTAAGCTTCTACTTTATGAGCGAGATTAATCAACGAAACTATGATCTATAGTGCTGCATTCGTGTTTAGCAATTCACCTCACTGTCTCCATCAGATGAAAAATCTTCTATTCTCATGAAAATTGAAGATTATCCGGATGAACCCTGTGTATCGTAATTTACAGTTGTTTATAATGTAATCATTTTATAAAATTAACAAAGTCAAAATCTTTCTTTTGTATTAAGACGATCAAATCACATTATTGACATCGCTTGGTATCGTCACTGATAATAATAATGTAAGTGATTATATAAAATTTCCATAAATGATGTTGAGTTGCTTCTCGGTTAGGATACAGGAAGACGAATTGAAATCAAATCTACGGTTGAAATCAATACACTCCACAGAAACCGAATTGTTCTCGATTCTCAATCACAAGCATCTTTGCTTGATACCGTTATATGCTCCGAATGTGGCAATGTGCTTTGGAAACCGCTTGCTTGTAGAAATTGTGGAACTGTTTTCTGCGAAATATGCTGTCCCTATGGTGGTATTTTGGGGAAAATTACATCCTTTTTTAGTTTTCAGCGAAAACAACATGGAACAAAGGACTGCGAAAACTTTGACGGAATACCAATACCAATCCGGACTACGAATGATCTTGCAAGATTACGAGTTCGTTGTTCATATGCTCCGAATGGATGTCACGTGATCTCATATTATCCCGATCTTGAACGGCATGAAAAAACATGCGAATTCGAAATGATTCCTTGCAAACTATGTCAAATGCCTTTATCGAAACGACCACCAATCGTAGAGCATACACAGCGCGCATGTTTCGAACACATGCTTGACAAAAATCCTGCTGGAATTCAAAAACAATTTATGATACTTTTCAATGCTATGGAAGAAACAAAAGCCGAAAATCGTCATCTTCAATTGACCATAAAAAATGTTCAAACTGAACTACAAAAGCTGAATTCAATAGTTGAGAAGGATAATAAGACAACAAAAAAGTGATTTAATTTGATCGTCATGGAACAATAATGGATTTTCTTTTCTTATTTATTTTGAACTAAATTTTATGATGCGTTCACTGAATATCCAAGATGAATAATAATATAAAACTAAAGGAACTATTATTTGGAATCAGTGCCTCTGATAGTAAGTGTATGTTACCAAGCAGAAGCAAAATTTACAGAACATCTGCTACTTTTGATTTGCACTCTGTTGTATACTTACTCAGAAAACAAAGTGTACTCTGTGCACTTTGCTAAAAAAAATTTACACATTGCTTTCTAAACTTTAAACGATCCACAGAGTATTAAATTAAAGATTGTTTAAATAGTAGTCACGTGTGATCTTTTGCGTTCAATTCTATGATTTGCTGAATGCAGATGTCCTTCTCTCTCGACATTTGTTGTTTACATAAAGAACGAGTAACTCTAGTTCTAGTGCAAATCTTGTTTATCATATTAATACAGGGTGGTAAATAATATTATTCCAGGGGGGTAACACTATGATCTCGAATCGGAGATATCATGAATTTTATACCAAATGAAAGCTCGTGAAAAATGGGGTTTAGTGATAGTAAATAGTAAGACTTTGAAGAACTTTCTTGTATTAATTTATCAAACGTTACGATTTTTATCGACATAAAATATTATAAAATCAGTTCATCGAAAAAGTTCGGGGCTAAACTATATGTTGTATAACTGTTTATTTTCTTATTATTTATTGAGTACAATCAATAATCAGTATGACGACCATTAGCACTCTTTACTGCACGAAGTCGAGATGGATACGAACATAAAAGAGCTTCAAACAATTCGGTATTTTCTTCCATGTCCGTCAAAACATCCGCAATGTGCTTTTTAAGTGTGTCTTCACTATATCGATTATGTCCAGTTTCCGATAACATTTTTTGTTCAACTTCATCTTTCATTATTGATCCAATATGTTCCGCCGCATTGAGATCGGGCGAATTACCAGGCCAAATATCATTGCCCCAAAACTCGATTTTGTTATCTCTAATCAGATGTTGAGTCATGTTTGCTCGCATACACGGTGCTTTATCGTGAACAAATATCACATTATCCAGATCAATTACGTTTTCCTCGTCGGTGAGGAATGGAAATATGTGTTGCATTAAAATAATGTCACGAAAATATTGACCGGTCCAAGATTCACCTTTGTCTTTAATCACCCAATGCATTTTTTTCGCGGTGAAAATGATAAAAATACCGATACACGCTTGGTTTTTAACCATTTCGCGATACCTTTCATCGTCTTCAATATCTTCAACACTTTTTGCCCAAATCCTATCATTTTGATAATTTGGTTTGCGAACTGTCCAAACATAAAATTCATCTGATGGTGCCAGATGAAGAAAATCTTCTTCAGTCCAATCTTTCAACCAATCACAGAGCCATAATCGATCTGATATATGAGTTTCAGATTTTAACGGTCTTGAAATAACATGAAAAGGCTTTAATCCTTCCCTACGACGGTAGTTATTAACTGTTTGTCGAGTAACATATTCTTTTTGTTTCTTTGCAATCTCTTTCGCCACGACAGAACCGCTTTTCCGTTGGTGACCACTTGCTTCACGAATAATGTCCTGAGCAGCTCTCGATAACTTGAGTTTAGGACCAGCATTCGAATAATCAGCAAAACATTGGTCACACGATTTTTCCCACCATTCTGTAACAAATCGAGTCGTACGGTGAATTTTGTCGGCAATCCATTGTCTATTTATAAATGTGGCACCAGCATCACGAGCTTCTCGGAAAGTAATGCATTTAATTCTATCAATCATTCTTTGTTGTTCGGTATCATAAGCGCCAGCCATTTGAAATAACAAACGAAAAAACACTGAGATTTCACTCGACTATAACTTTCAGACAGTCCGAGAACGAAAAAATTTTTCAAATAACTAGTATCACGTGGAGAGAAGAACAGAACGCCAAAGAACCATCTTATTGTGTGAGTCATAGTCATATATCATCATCGTTATCATTTCTCTTTCGTTTTCATAAAAAATGTTCGTTTTCAATGTCTCAAAATGTATGAAAAATGATTTTTAACGTGTTTTTGAAAGAAAATTTCGTTGTTTTTAAAAATTTGGTACACGAAAGTTCTTCAAAGTCTTACTATTTACTATCACTAAACCCCATTTTTCACGGGCTTTCATTTGGTATAAAATTCATGATATCTCCGATTCGAGATCATACTGTTACCCCCCTGGAATAATATTATTTACCACCCTGTACAGCTACGATTATGTCTTTTAATTTTGTTTGATATCTATTATTTATGAAGAAAAGTCAATTGAAAATAAATGAAATTTCGACTAAACATGAAACTTCATCTGCTCATATTTCTTCTATAATTGCTAGTGAAAATGAATTCTTATCTTCAGTTTCGTCTGCATCATCACATGTTGAAGTAGAAAATTCTGCTGATGAAGTTAATCTTGTCAGTACTAATTCTTTTAGGTGTGCTATATAGGCTTGTCTTTATTTGTTCTCTTTTTTTCCCTGAACTTGTCATATGATGAAATTGAACATTTGTATAGTTTGTTCACTGGTAGTCAATATTTATGTCGCATTAGAGAAAAAAAACAATCATTATATTTTTTTTGCTAGGTTGCGAAAATTTGGTTTTCGTACATTTTGCTGACGAAAACAAAATGTAAACGTACACTTTGTATTATATGAACAAAATGTACAGTACTTTTTGCTTTAGATTTCCATTCGAAACTGTGTTCGGAATAGCTTTCTTTCAGAATAAATAATCATATATATCTGACATAAATTTACGCTCTTTTTGAAAGAAAACACTTCCCCACCTCGAATCAGAGATACGGCTTTGAGAAACTCACTTATGTTTTCGAAAAAAATAGTGAGTGTAAATGTTAAGTCTAGATTTGCGGCTCCCCGATATCCTCATTACAGACGTTAAAAACCGAGAGCAGAAAAAATACGAAGTCCTTGTTGACATTTAAACCGCTAAAATAGTTTCGTGAATGTTGTGAGTAGTGCAATTTTGATTGTTGGGAAATGTAAAAGTTTGAATTGAATATATCAAGAATGCGTCGATTTGTTACAGTTGTAATATGATCATCTTTAGAAGAATGAATTGATTAAGTTTTCAGTTAGAACAAACTTAATATCAATAGTTGTGCGTTGATCACGATAAATAATAGTTCATTGATACTTGCTCTTGATATCGTGTAAATATTGTATGACAAAAATAAATAAAAAATTCTTTTTCTATCGGTCGATTGGCGTGAAAAACAACTGAAATATACGATAGATTTTGATTTTTACATATTGCTTTGTTTATTTTTATATTT